AATTTTAAATATTATTGTTATTTTGTTAGGTTGTTAAATTGAAAATTTAGCCAAATTGTATCAATATTATTGTTTCTTTTCATCTAAAAAATTATAATAAATCTTAACAATTAAAAATGAAAAAATAAATGATCAAAATTTTATATAAATGTAGTGTATATGATTATATGTAAATGAATCCATCCCTAAATTCTAAATATTATAAAGACAAATTCCTCCATCCAATATTTTGCAACTCAAAGTGTAAAGTCCCAGACTGTTACTAAATTACTACTCCCTGTAGTTTCTAATTTTTGTTTTTGTATATGTTATATAACAGTGTCTCCTAAACTTATATGCAGACAATGAAAGCTTTAGTGAATTTGGAACAGAAACTAATTTAGAAGATAATTGGGAAAACAATTCAAGACTGACCTCCTTCTCCTTCCCAATGTTGAGAACGATGAGCTCCACCAATCCTTTGGCATTCATCAAAAGGCCAAGAGTCAACGATTCTCTGACCGGTATCATGAACATCAGCGCCACCGCAAATGTCCCAAAAATCTTTCCGGCGCAGGCCGTTGTTATAACCAGCACCAACAGCCCCCATGACTTCGCCCCTTTTATCTTTGTCACATCCGTTTTCAGTCCGCTAGATGCAAAGTAAAGCGGCAGAAGCAAACCGGAAACAAAATCCTCTATCCTCTCTATCAATCTCTCCGCAAATTCTCCGCCTTTGGGAATTGTGAGTCCAAAAACAAAGGCGCCGAAGATGGAATGGATTCCGATTAAGTCCGTCATGAATCCGGACACCATTACACCGGTTAAAGTCAAACATATGTAAGCCTCGTCAACGACGTACCGCTCCGACGAGCACCGCTTGGCGACCCATTTCATGGCTGGTCGGATAACCACTATCATGAAAATGACGAAAGCAGCGCCGGAGAGTAGCACCCATATTGATATCAATGGGCTTTTGTGTTCTCCACCGGCACCTTCGGTAAGGGCAACAGCCAAGGCTAGCAAGATCCATGCAGCAACGTCGTTGAATGCGGCTGCGGCCATGGCAATTTCTCCCACCTGGGTTGTCAGCAACTTGAGCTCCGCTAGTATGCGGGCGAGAACAGGGAAAGCAGTGATGGAGAGTGCCACTCCCATGAAAACTAGAAACTGACCATACCCGACTTTATCAGCTCCTTCCACGGTTTTTCTAAGGACAAAAGCCACACCGATCCCGGAGAGGAAAGGGAGGGAAATTCCGGCGAGTGCTATACCCAAAGCTCTTTTGCCGCTCCGGCGTATGGAGGATAAATCGAGCTCGAGCCCTACCAAGAAGAGAAAGAAGAGAAGACCAATAGTCGCAACCGTTTCGAGAATCGGAGTACTCCATGACGGAAATATCCGGGTCAAATACTCTTTGTTTCGTCCAAAAGCGGACGGTCCGAGCAGAATTCCACCCTAAGATCATACAAAACCAACATCATCACTTGAAAAAAAAAAAATTACATTACATTATATGCATGATTGTTTGTATTATACATACAAGTATCTCGGCGATGACTTTGGGTTGCCGGAGGGGTTTGAGAAGGAGAGCAAGGAAGCGGCTGACGACGAGGATCAAGGTGGTTTGGACGATCAAGAGAGGGAAGGCGAAATTGAGAGGATTGTCACCCTGCCAGGCCCCATTTGATGAGGTTTTAATGGAGGTAATGTTGAAGGCCATGTTTGGGGAGTGGGTTATGAGAATCAATGGAAAAATGGAATGTTCAAAGGAGGTTGGGAATTTATAGAACCGGAAGCAACGTTTTGTGCTTGTAGCTACTAGCTAGTCAATAGGCGCCCCTGTCACGGCTTATGGATGTCCATAAACCCAGCAAACAAGTCGGATTGGGTGGGTTTCATATTGGATCATTTTGGATTTCGAATTATTTGGATTGAACCATTTTGAGTGTAAGGTTAAGAAGATTGACCTATAACCCATTCACATGAATCTCATATTGGGTCGGGTGGGTTCAACTTTTAAAAAATTATAATTAAAATTAAATTTTTTTTATATTTTTCTCTATTTTTCTTTAACAAAATCTAATACTAATTAATTATTTAGTTAAAAGACTTTATTACTAATTAACTATTTAGTTAGAAAGCTTTATTAAACGTTAATTTCCATTTCATAATTCAATTTTTTTCCAATCTCGAGAAAAAAAAAAGAAGAAAAGATCAGTGATTATATAGTTGGAACTAAAATATATGTTAAATATATAATACCTCTATTATATTTAGAATTTATAATTTCATAAAGATATTAACCTTTATTAAAAGAAAAAACACGAAGAATTAAAATTCAAAAGGCAAATCCAATATATATACATATTAATATCTAATGCTTATTCAATATTTATAAGATTATTATACAAAAAATACAATTCTATTTAATATTTAGGAGTTAATTATACAAAAAATATAGTTATATTCAATATTAAAGTTTAAAAGGCAAATCCAAAATATATTTAACCAAATACAAGAAGAAATTGGATTAGAATTGATTTTTATTAATTAGAAATAAATTATTAATTAAGAACAAATTAGCAACTAAAAATAAATTAGCAATTAAGAACAAACCTTCATGTTCTTGATATTCTTGTGTTTGTACTTTTAATGGTTATGATGGTACTTTAATCATTGGGTTTTGATTTTTAATATGCATTCTTACTTTTTATTTTTTTTTAAATGATTTTTTTTTACGATATCATATGACATAACTCACTATATGTCACTTAATCTAATTTTTGACACAAGTACTACCAAAGAAAAGGATTAGAGAGCTTGAGACGAAGAAGGAGAGAACAAAAGTGGAGAATAGGAAAAGTTGAGTGAAAGTGAAATTAATGAGAGGTTAAGATTTGAGTGTTTTATTTATTTTTACGTCTAAAATTAGGAAATTAAAATTTTAATATTAATTTTTAAGTAATTTAATAAAAATAAATAAATAAATTCAGGTCATTTCAGGTGACTTGACCCATTCGTGACCTAATTCATTTGGATTCGAATAATTTCAATCTAAATTATTTCAGATTTTAAATTAATACATAAAACTCATGACCCTACCCATAATTGATAAGCCGGGTTAGATTTTTGGATTGTGTTTAATTTTGCCAGGTTTATATGTCCAAAACAGCAAACGTGTAAATTTTTAAATTTTGTATTATCCTTTATCTAGACCAAAGATTCCTTTAGTTTTTTTTTTTTTTTTGTTACACAATAAAAAGCAATTATATTTCGTTTCTTATCTTACTCTATTCACATATTATATAATTCAAATTTAAAATCTCTTACTTATAACAAAAAAAATAATTACTAAATTATTTAATTTTTTTTTTTATTTCCCGTCCGGTATTTAGAGCTTTGCCCTGACTAATCCGGATCAATCCATGTCGGACACCTGAAAATGATGGATGAGTCTCCCAACAAATACTGTTACATACATAAGATCTCAAACTCAAGATCTTATTTAAATTAGAACAAGTTACTTACCGGATCCAACCCCTCGTTTGGTTCTAAATTATTTAAATTGGTCACATTCGTTTGAATTCTTCAGAAACATGTGGATATATTAGGA